ATCAGGGCTGGGAAGTTCTAACAACACTACCTTTTCTTTTCGGTGCAATTTTAACCTACAACCTGTTTTCACACACAAATTCTTTTGTCTCCACATCATTCCATTTCGCACATAAGAAAACCGAGTCACCTGGGTCGTTAATGAGCCTTCCTAAAGGGAAAGGAAGAAGGCTGGAAAGAGAAACTGATTCCCACGATAACTCTCCCGGCACGGTTCTTTAGTTCTAATTGAACGAGCTCCTACACAGTCTAGAAAAGATCGTCAATGTGGCCATATTGAAGCAGGTAAAACAAAACTGTCGCTTTCCATGAGGAAGGTCTACAAAGCGGTGTGCCATTATTAAAAGCTGTTAGACCTCGAAAGACTGTTATAAGACCATTGACGGAAAGGTGGGGCAAACAGGACCGAGATATTTAATATCTCCAGTTTGACAGGCCATACAAGGACATTTAATCTATTGCACAAAGGAACTCTCTGAAGTACCTTCAACTGGAAAGTTCTTTGAAATTTAAGTTTCATGCATTTTTTATTTGGGGCCCTGGAGACAGCCTTCTATCAAGAAAGTCAGTCCTTTATTCCCAGTATACCTGTATTCTGTCAATAAGTCACTCTGTGGATTATGCTTCTTGGTATGTAGATAAAATATAATTACTGCAGTGACATGAGTTTTTGAAAGTACAGTATTTCTTCCTTTTAAAATTAACCTGGAAATAGGAACTTAAAAATTAATACTGTAATTCTGATGTATCACTGAGGAAAGTTACACGAGAGCGTGGCAATGTCAGGATTTTTCTCACAGTATTTTTAGTGTAAGAGATTTTAATCCTCAGAGTTAAGACTTTCCCATATTTCTTTGATTACTATTGTCAAAGATGTATGAATGCATCCCAACAAATTACCCAAGCAAGAACTTCCTCATTAAAAAAATGATTTAAAAAAATCTTTGTCAATGAAAGCTTGTAAGCACGTCTCCTGAGGAAATAACTGAGCATTAAGAACCAAAACTTTCCTTCAAAACGTCTCACCTTCACAGCTATTTGAAGCCACTTACCTCCTAGGGCTCCCTAATCTTACCTCCCTAGCATCAAAGAACCACAAAAAGAAAGGATCATGTAAGAAACTACAAAAGTCTATCTTTGTTTAATATAGAAGCTATGCACAGTAAATTGTCTGCTCTAAAATTTTATTTCCCTTTAAATCTGTCTATTTCCCCCTGAAAGAAATCTCCATTCTAGTTTGTAAGCTATTTAATGACTTCTTTATTGATATCATTGTATGAAATCATATTTCTCTCTCGTTTCTACAATTAGTGATTTTTTAAACATTTTAGCAATAGATAACATCTATTGTGCATGCCAGCACCATGCTGAGCGCTTCACATGCAGCATTTCTTGAAGTCTTACAATTACATAAGATACATATGACTATTGCCCCCATTTTACAGATGAAGGAACTAAGGCTCAAAGGGCTTAAGTAATTTGTGGAAATTCAGACATCTGACAAATGGCGGAACCAGGGTTTTAATCCCACAGGGTCAGTTCCGGAGCCTGAGTGCTCACCCTATCATGCTATATTATCTTTCGAGTTTTAATCAATATTCAGTCAACTTACACCATGTTTGCTTCTCCATTGTGAGGAGATTATTCAGGTTAAGGATATTCGTTTCTTTGCTTCTCTCCTAATGCATGCACTTGGGTTGTTTCACAGCTGATTTCACTCTCCACCGACTAACCAGCATAGAAAGCCAGTTTTACCACTCGTGATTAGCTTTGGCAGTGAATTGCATACATTGAAGATCTGGTTATCATCGTTAAAAAGAAAAAGTCTTAATTAGAGGATTGATTATGTGTGGACTTCGGAGAGCTAACTGTCAGAATAACTGACTTCGTGTCAAAAACTCCATTCCTTTCCTGAAATCACATTTCGATTTGGTTGTATCATCACTGTTTGTATTCTCCCCACTGTAAATAGATTGGAAAAGCCCATTCAGATTATTTCTTACGTCGGCTGCTAAGATAAAACAATCTTTAATTCCCTTAATTATCTCTTAAACTTCCTTTTTGCTTATTTGTTCTAAAATTACTGACTGATCTTAACATGTCTGTTTTTATTGCTTATTGCTCTCGTCCAGTGCATGGAGCCATGTTCTATTGCTTATTACCATAGATGCTATTTTACAATGCCACTTAACTACCCTGACCTCATGTGGCCTTTCTATTTTAAGAGGTAAGTGAGAAGCAGGACTAGAAAGCAAGTCTTCCATGATTTTCTGATTTGTATGCTTTCTATACTATTCTATTTCTTTGAGTACAAGCCTCACAGCGCATAAGCCTAAAGTCCTGGCCTTGCTCAGAGAAGTGGGTATTATTGCCTAGTAGAGCTGGCTGAATGAGGTTTAGGAACTGCTCTCTGATCCCTGTGCTTTTTTGCTGAGAGCTCTCAGGGCCTGGAGAAATAGTTGATAGTCCACTCTTCTCATGTCTTAGTCTTCACTTTGCACTTAAGAACAGTGATTATGCAGCCTTTTGAAAGCACGTTGGGTGGCTTTCTCTGTTTTGAAGCTGACTTCATCAAGGCACTGGACACTTTCAAAATGTTCTAAAGTAGCTGATGTTTTCTTTCAAATTTCTTTCTGAAATCCCCAGAAATTCGGTCCCTATATGAAATTCTTGGTAGTCTATTAGAGCTATTTGCTGTACTATCCTCATAAGTCACACCTTGTTATCAAAGTTACGGTAGCTATTAACTAAGAATTGGACCTCAGGGCAGGATTATAGGGTTTTTCAGAAGGAAGTGTGAAAATTAGGAAGATGGAATTATTTTGTAGAGATGTAGGTGTCAACGTTTATGCCATATTATGGAAAGTATGCTGTGTGATAGGCTGTCACATCCTAACCCTTGGCATTGTGTGGCAAATACAGCTCAAATAACAGAGAAACAAGAAACCTAAACTATCACATAGACAGAACTCCTTGTACACGCCTTGGGGCTCAATGGAATTCAGAAAATAAGGGTGCTCTTTCCAGGTTCCAACCAGGTGTCTAATTGTGAGAAACACTCATCTTTAGAGACAGGACTTTAGTTTCTTCACTCTCCAAGTGTAACGAATACATCAAAAAGTACAGGTCATGGATGATATGGAACAGCACTTTCAAAAAGAGTAAGATCAAATGTCAATGTCAAATATCAATGTAGAAATATTTCATTTCTCTGAAAAACTCACACCACAAACTCCCTTGACTTGCCCTAAATTTACAAAAATTATAATTCTAAAGCAACATCAACAACATCAAGGGCCATTGTATACAAAGTGGCTTGGGTAATCAGTATGTTATAAAATAACGTGCGGGGCAAATAAGTCTCCTATAGTTAACACAGAGTGTATTCATTTTATTGTTTTAGACCACTGAGAGCTTGTGCTAGGAACATAAATGAGAACACGTATGTCGACATATATTATATGGAGCTCCACTATGAGGTTCCTATCAATGTATAATCACACACACATCCCTGTCTGGAGATTACAGCCTTTATTCCAAGTTTTTGGTCTAAAGGGTATCTTTAAATGTACATAGTTCCAATCTTTAGAAGAAAATTAAAGTGAATTCAAGTCTGTATTGTCTATCCTTTCTTTCTGCCTTTCTTTTCAGGTTAGCAGTTTATTTCTGCATTAATCACCCTGACAGAAGCAAGGCAACTCAATTTTCTGCTTCTGTAGGTAGGCACATCACTTTCTGTACAGCACTAGGCATGAAAAGGGCTGCAGCTAAGCTTTGGTTACTGGTGTAATTGAAATGCTATCCACACTATAGGGTGCATTAAAGTCAGATAACGGCAGTTCCTGTGGCCAATTTAAGTAGCTTGACTTCCCTGGGAAAAAAAAAAATTGCCTGACAGATAAGGCAGACAAACTGGCTAATTCTCCAAGCATGTCTCTCATTGTGATCCTAGAAAAATGAGAAAAAAATGAATCACAGAACCACAAAATCAATTGACCCTCGGGTAGCTCATCAGGCAGCGAGGCTGATAAACCTAAAAGCTTTGTTAATGTCTGCCTGCCTGTGTCCCACAGATAGAGCACTTTGTAAATGAACCTGCTTTGATAAATATATTAAGGAAAGCTGTGAATAAAGGCAGAGACTTCTCATTTGTAAATACAACCTCTGCTACATGGAATTAGAATGATAAAATGGAGTTCCATGTAATTAAGTTTGTATAAGGCCTGAAATCCGTGCAAATACTTTCCCTGAATTTTGAAAGAGAACTGTCAGTTCAATTAATCTGAACATCACCCAAGAATGTACCGAACAAAATTAAGCTGCTGATAAAACCTGGGCCAGTATTTTGATAAGTAATTCCTATATCATTTCTTGGCCACTGTGATCATTTTATTTAATCCTCCACCCCTCCTTTTCCTCAGTTACCCTCTAAGCCACATACAAAAGGTGATGGTCCACGCACCAGCACAGGAGTACTCTGTCAAATCGCAAAGGTAAAAATGGAAAAATACAGTTTTTTTTCTGTGTTTAAAAAAAAAATGAGGCAAATAAATTTCTATTAGGAGATGCTAAAAACCCTGCATGCACGTCACCCCTCAAAGCCAAGACTAAAGAAATCTTCTCAGGACTGATAACTCTGTATGAGGCCTGCGCAAAAAAAACCCCCACAGAGTTACAATTTTCAACAGGAATGGCGTGAACAGAATTTGCAGTTTAATTCGAGAATTTTAAAGCATCAGAGATGAGAAAAGTGAGGTGGAGAGGAAGAGCGAGAGAGGAGAAAAGAAAAGAGAGCGAGAACAAGAGAAGAGGAATAAATCTTACAAAAACCATTCACCTATTACCTTTGCCTCTCCCTAGGTACTACTTTCACACCTCAGGGTAGAAACACAGAAGTTATCCTCCTTAATTTCATTTGTTTCAGAAACAAAAGAAGAAAACAATTATTTAGAAATCTCATTTTAGCCATGGGAGAAAGACATTGATTTTCGGGTCACTCACCAGTTGTTTACTTGGAGAATTGTAAGTCCTGTGTCTTGCGCTAACTGTTTCTTCTGCTCTTCGGAAGGGTACGGATGCTAATGAAAAAACAAACGTTTTAAAAGATGTATCAGAAGTTAAGAAAGAGTCACTTACTTCTAAGAATGAAACGACCGTTTGTGATTTCTTTAGCCTACGGCTTGATTTTCCTAATCGCAGCTTTTTTTATCGTGTATGGAGAAAGGTGGGACAAGAATCCAGAAACCTGCATTAGCAGCCCCACTGTTCCTGCCAGCCTTTGGAAGGCCAGCCGTAAAAAGCAAGGTGTTGCAGCTATTCAGTTTCTTAAATCTGTGAAGGAGGTAAAGCGCTTTTGTGATGGCGTCAGAATTTGGGTTATCTACAATCATTTCAGTTACACTAAGGAAACTAGTTTCGGGCCCATTTACTTTGCCTCCTGGAAAACCTATGTGAAGCCCTTATTCTGTGTTATCTTTGTGAGATGGCTCAGTATACTCATTATTTCCTAGTTAATCTGAGGTTATAGACAGTAAAAGTTTGGAAAGTGAGAGTATATAATCACAACTATCCTTGGAAGCCATGGCAACCGATTCAATTACGACAAAGTTTACTGACAGTGTATTTACATTGACTCCTTTAAGGGACAGTGGAAGATTCTTCCATTTTCACTGGTTACGGCTCTGGGTGAACAGGGTCACAGGCAATGGCCACACATCAAAAGGCGTCGATTATGTGCAATGCGTCGTATAGAAATTTTACATTTTACCTTAAAGCATGGCAATAAGAGAAAGAAGCCATACGTTTCAGTGTTTTTAATCACAACTCACCAATGTCTATAATGAACCATCCTCCCATTATCTAAACATTCTCCTCTCTCATTCTAAAATCAAGGATTGCTATTTTAGAATTGTACATTTACTTTAAGAGACACTGTAATGGCGTGCACATAATTATAAAACGTATCTGTTAAATAGGTCCCTGCTCTCAATTCAGGGTTTTCTTAACCAGAAAAGTAAACTTTTATCTAGCATGTCAGTCGTTCATAAACTAGAAAGCCTTTACTAATAAATATTTCCCATCAACATTATGAAAGGGTGATATTAGGAACAACAGAGTATTCCATTCAGAGCATTCTAACCATTCCAATGTTTGAGAGATGGAATGTTTTTCAGTCATCTAAGATTTTATTCTTCAGGTATTTCATCTTCTATAATAGCATACATTATCCAAAATGTGCACAATTGCTGATTAGCAAACCCAAATGCCATTAGGTTAAACAAAATCCCCTATATAGCAAAAGGGGTTAACTAGATTTGTATTAATATAGAAGCCAGGCTTTTAATATTCTGCAAATGTTAACAAAGAAAGATGATAATGTTGAGTTAATATGGGTTAAGCATAAAATGAAAATAAATTTTTCTGATTGCGAGGTGTTGACACTTTTTTGGCTGGGGCCTCCAGCCTGTTCCTGAAAGCTGTGTAATTACAGAAGGCTTTTCCCCTCCTTCCCCCTCCTGCTTCAAGCCTACCCACATTAGTAATGACCCCTCCACTGCTTCAAAAACCACTAATGGTCTTCAGCACGGGCAAGAAAAATGAACAGGATAAATTGGAATCCACAGTCAGTAATTTGCATCCTATGAGGCTGCTCTGGCCACTCACACTCATTCCTGGCCATCAATCGTGGCCTGTCAGGTGCTGCGCTCTGCCACCATGACAAATACTCCTCCTAACACTCTGATTCGTCCAAACAATGTAATTGTCCTCTATTCTCCTTTTGGTAATGGAGATAATGAATGACTGCGCAAACAAGAAGGACTGCTCATCACAGACGCTGGGGTGGCTTCAAACTGGAAAGGGCCTAGGGTACAAAATTTAATTGACTGAAAACACCGGTTGGGGAGAAGATCACCAAAAGATCCCAAATCCTTCTTGTCATGATCTTTCCCTGACAAATTCAAAGGAGGAGCACCCTTTGACTTTCTGTCCCTCTGAGATTTTGAAAGCCTAGGTTTATAGGCAATTGACCCAATGGAAATAAATGCTGCAAATAACAAAAATGAAAACGGAAATCACGACTCATCACAAGAGTGTATGGTTCTGCCTTGGTAACGTCGTCCAGAGTGCCGTTTCTTTAAGCAGTGTTTTCTTTTTGGTGTGTTTACTCTTGCTCACTGTTGCCCAAGACAGTTCTGACAAAATGTCGGTTGTGGGGGGGGGGTGTGTGTGTGTGAAAAAGAGAGAGACAGAGGCAGAGACACACACGCATGCACACACACATACACAGAGAAGGTTTTGGTGAAACAAAGGTTTAGGATGTTAAGGAAGCAGAAGAGTAGAAAGGTGATGTTAGTGGAGAGCCAATTCCTTCAAGTATGACTATAAATTCTGACTGGATAACAAGAATTCGTTCCAGGGTTTTATTAGAAATTTACTCAAATGACCACAAAATTACATAAACAGTGCATTTAATCTTGGGAATCCCTGAGCTGTACTTTCACTATGAAGGCAGTTGCAAATTCCATCCACAATCATTAAAAAAATTGGGACCTTACCAAAATTCACCTTGCACAGATGGCTTTTTTTTTAATTAATAGGGAAGACCATAATAACTTTAACTTATTTAAATAATGTTCTGTGGTTTTTGAACATTCGTGATTCTATGCCCCTTTTATACATGAAGTGGACTGTTTATCAGAAAGCGTTCTGGCAGTCAGCCACTATATTTCTAAAATTAAAAAAGGGATGGAAAACAATCAGCTTTCAGAGGAATTGGAACCATAGCAATGTGTTTTGGATTAATTTATAAATATATGTATATATTTAAGGCCAAACTGTGGAACTAGAGAATTTCTACTACATGGTCTATCATATGCATTCTTCTTCTTTATTAGAACAGACATCATATTGAAATAATAAACCTGGGAAGCCTTCACTTCTTCTTTGATGTATATTACTAAATGTCTGACTGGCTCAAATTTAAAATAAACTTTGGTCTGTTTGCACTTGAAAACTGGAAGTAGACCACAAGCAATAATTTGTTGTCAGTTTTCATATTCTTGGACTAAAGCTATAGTTTAGTCTGTTCACTGTTGGGGGCCAACGTACTCTGGTCCAGTGGCCCAGGGGTGGCTCAACTAACGCATCATAACATAATATTGAGGATGACGATTCCCTTCATTAACAAAGAACCAGCATAGGTCGAAGTTTTTCACATCTCAAAATAATTCCAAAGCCACTGTTGAATAGAAGAAGTGAATCACAAAGATCCTCTTTGACTATCAACTGACAACTGTTCAGAAAGTTACTAAGACACGTATGGCTCATGACTCAATGTAGATAGAAAATATTTTTTAATTGCCTTTTTTCTAAAGACTCGTTTGAAAGTAAGATATTATCTTTATTCAAGACACAGATCTTAGTTAGGCCTTCTTTTTTTTGCTTCCTTTGGGGGTTAACCTGGTTTATTAAGTACACGGAACTGGATCTACAATATCCTTAGGATACATCAGTGGAAGAGTTTTTGGGTGAAACCACTTAATAAGAATCTTCTTTTGTGATGAACCCCTCTCCAATGATGTCTACACTGGAATTGACTTACGGTGAATTTTATTCTCTGTTGAAAAGATATACTGATGTTTGAAAATACTTCTAATGATTCTTATAATCATCTCATGAACTAGAAGTACATGATAAATGAAAAAGGTAGTACCTGCAAGGCTAAAAAATTGGAAATAACCTGTCCACCAACTGGATCTTAGTTAAATAAAATGTGAGGTTCTCATGAAAAGGTTTTCCCCATATATTATTGAGTGAAAAAAAGCAAATTGTAGGACAACATGCATTATCGATTTTTTTTAAATAGATAAATAAATAGATATAAATATACACAAATCTATGCTGTAGAGCAAAAAAAATCTGGAAAAACATACACTGAAAAATGGTTCATGTTGTGTAGGGCATGGGGTGGAGGGTTTTACTTTTTGTTTGTATAATCCTACATTGTCTGCGAGAGTAGTGCTTCAAATAATTTTTTAAAATCCAATATTAATTTTAAAAATATAATTAATGTATTGTAATTGTAGTTAATAAACTCCATAGTTTTAAAAAATCATACTAATTTAACTGTTTTATACAATTAGATATTCTGTTATGTTATGGTAACTCTTTCACTGGATATATTTTTTTTTTTTTAAAGATTGGCGCCTGAGCTAACAACTGTTGCCAATCTTCTCTCTTTTTTTTTTTCCTGCTTTATCTCCCCAAACCCCCTGTACATAGTTGTATATCATTAGTTCCAGGTCCTTCTAGTTGTGAGCCTGGATATTTTTAAAAGCAGGACATCTCCAGGACCAGTCCTGCCTCTTAAGTTACCTTCCTATCTTAAGAGCTTGACTCACTTACTGGTCTATAAAGTTTACTAGATGAGCTCGTTGAAGAACAATGTGCAGTTTGTCAAATCACTTCTGTGACGATGTAATACAACCATTAAGAGAAATGATCAAGTAACTTGTTGGGTAGAATCTTAGTTTGAGCAAATACTTGGAAATTGATCGTTTTGATTACCACTTTCTTTTCCTCAATCCTCTCCAAGATGCCAATTCTTTTATAGAGTTAATCCAAGTGACCTTGATTTTGATGATGCCACTCATACATGAAACTCTCTAAGCAATTTCCCAAAGGTGGACAATGAAACTGCATTGGGTAAATGTCACCTATTGCTCCAGAACCATGCTTACTAAACTGGGTTACAAGTAGACGTGCTAAAGACCTAACCCCTGAAGATGTAAGTGCATTTTCCTGGAATATCAAATTTATTCAATGGTCATTAATTTAACACCCTTTTCTTATGTAAACAAATATTCCTATGCTATGATTAGAATGTATACTACGAATGAAATTTGAAGATAAAACAAGAAACTAAAACTCATCACATCCTCATAGTTGGAGGTAATCTCTTTTCCACTAAACTCATATAGCAATTTACTTGGTATTTTATAATTTTTAGCCTTTCATTGTCATGCCTTATTTACATATCTTGTCTTTATTAAGTATAACTTTCTGAGGGTAAAGCCTT